AAATTATAGGTGCTTATTTGGGTTTAAATCTGGTGAAATTGCATGCGATCCACTGCAGCGACGTTGTTCTGGGTTGTATAAGAATTTAATTCCGAGTGGAGTGCTCGGTGTGCTGGTACATTGTCCTGTTGGAATGTTATGGGCTGCTAGTGTTGTTTGAAGGAAAGGCAGATAGTGCTCATGTGGTCTCCTGTACACTTTAATGCTCCCATCGTGACGTTCACCTTGGAACTGAAAATTGTCCGAGAAGGTGGCGGTGTCCAACTGCTCTAGGTCCATCGGCGGTGTAGCTGTGACCAGTTCATCCTAGCCTGACGGTGTCTGGCTGTAAACACAGTCTGTATAGGCCTCGTAGTCGTAGGCATCCTAGCTTCAGTGGAAGCATGCCAGTATGTCACAGGCCCACGACCCTGCCTTGACTGTGCCCTGCATGATGGAAGTTATCACTGACACTCTCAAAAAGAGTAAATGAATGATTGATTGATAGTGTGAATTGAATTATGAATAATTCATTGTTGAAATTTTACAGAGTAATTTGCTTTGATTTGCATACAAAAAGGAAGAAATATTGAACAACACAAGCTGAATTAATATTTAAGGGAGGGAATATCTTTACAACACCAATTTGACGGTGGGGAATTTAAAAAAAGGTAAGTTACGACTACAGTATTAAAGTGCTGTAATTGTGACTGTCATTAATACTCATTAAATGAAATTGTGCCTGTTACAAACTGGGCAGCCCCCGCTTCAGTCTTGAAATCCCAGTCAGCGACGAACAGCATGCCGGCTGACGAGTAGAAGTCCCGGAAATTACGAGGGCTGTCCCACGGAAAACCGGAATTTGGCTGTAATTTGAAAACTATTCAATATTTTCACATTCTGTAAACGCACACTTGTAAAACAATCGTATTGGAATTTCCCGATTGAACACCATGAGCATCGCACAAACCAAACGAACACAGCCGTTCTCCAAAGATGGCTACCCATTTGGAAAATTGGTCAAGGATAGAAGTGAGATCTGTCATTCGGTTTCTG